GGCATCTTGGCTGTTTCCATAACTTGGCTATTGTGAATAGTGCTGCAATAAATGTGGGTGTCCAGGTGCCTCTGGAGTACAACAACAACATTTAAAATACACCAAGCAAAAATAATAAAATGGAAAGAATAATGAAATCTACAATTTTAATCAGAGATTTCAACAGTCTTCTCTCAATAATCAATGAAATCAGTAAATAGACAAAAAGTTCAAGAAGACTTAACATTATCAACCAACTTTAACACATTTACAAAATAGTAAAACATAAACACAATTTATTTCAAATTATCATAAACATATAATAGTGGCCAAAATAGATCACATTCTGGACCACAAAATCTTAACAGGTTTTTAAAAAATCATGAAATCATGGTAGGTTTTCTGACCATTACAGGATTAAACTAAAAATCAGAAAAATTTACCTAGAAAATCTCACAAGTATTTGAAAATTAAACAAAACACTTCCTAAGAACCCACTGGTCAAAGAGGGAATCACAAGAGTATTTAAAAATATGTTGAATTAAACAGTAAGATGACAAAACATGTCAAAACTTCTAGGATGCAGCTAAAGTAGTACTTAAGGAAGTTTATAGCAATAAATGCTCCCTTTAGAAAAGAAATGATTTAAATTCCTCCTTTAAGAAAATGGAACAGAACATTAATTATATCCAAGCAAGAAGTAAGTAAGTAATAGAGATAAAGGTAGAAGTCAATGAAATTTTAAGATAGGAAAAGACACTTCTGAGATCATTCTATGTATCCAGAATTCTCTGATAGCACAACCAGAGAAAGTCAGACAAAATAACAGCAGCCCAACAGTCTTTGTGTAAGTAGATGCAAAAGTCCTTCAGAAAATATTAGCAAGTTGAATCCAATTGCTTTCAGGTATTTCAGTTATGTCCTCTTTCAAAAAGTACCTAAGATATTACCAATGTTCTTGTGCAATCAGTATTTGTTTATATTATTCCACACATTTACTGCTGCTTTTGCTCAAATTCCTTTCTTGTACCTCAGACCTTCAATGTGACATCAATTCCCTTATACCTAAATTCTGTTCTTTAAGTTTGCATTAGTCCACGTTTATTGATGTTAACCCTCTAAGCTGTTGATTTGCCTCAAGATGTGTGTTGGTATGTCCTTAGTTTTGAAGGAGATCTAGTTTGTACATTGCAGATATTATTCCATTGTTTTCTGGCTATCATAGCTGCCTTTGAGGAATCTGTGTTCTACTGGGGAGTCCATAGTATATGTAATCATGGCACCTTTAAAAATAACTTTAAAATTTGTCTTCTCCAGTTAACCCCAGCTGCATATAAGTTCTTTTTAGCTTTGGTGTTTACAGGTTCACTTTGATCGGTCTAAGCATGTAGGCTTTTTCATTTAGCCTGCTCAGGATTTATTGGGATTCTTGAATCTGTAAGCCAATCCCTTTCATAATTTCTGGATATTTCTCATGTATTATTTGCCTGCATTTAATAGAAACCAGAAAAATAGATAATAAATGAGCTAAACTTAGTCACATTCAAGAAGATAGGAAAAGACAGCCAGACACAGTGGTATACATCTATGTATAATTCCAACACTTGGGAGGTAGAGGCAGGAGAATTGTGAGTTCAAGGTATCCTGAGCTACATAAAGAGTCCCTGTCTCAAAAAAAAAGAAAGATAAAAGCAAACTAGGAAAAAGTAAATAAATAATAAATAAAAGGCAACTTTAAAAAAATAAAAACAAGGTTGGCAGAATGGCTCAAGTGGTAAACCACCTGCCTCACAAGCATGAAGCCCTAAGTTCAAACCCAAAAAGAGAGAGAGAGAGAGAAATCAAAATAATAAAAAATAACCCAAAAGAGTTTAAAAATTAGCTCCTTGAAAAGAATAGAAATAAGCAAGCTTCTAGCAATAGTAATGAAGAAAAGATAAAACATAAGTAAATAATATTAAAATGAAAAGAATGGATAACTGCAGACACACTAGAATTTTTTTAAATCATAGTAGGATCATTTTATGCCAACACATTTAAAGAAACAAAATGAAAATTTGGGGCCTTGCTGAAGTGGTGGAGTGACTGCCTAACAAATGTAAAGCTCTGAGTTTAAACCCCAGTACTGAAAAAAAAAAGAAAGAAAACTTGCCTAGAAAAATTTAAATTCACAAAATTAACTCAAGAATAAGTAGCAAATTAAAAGAAAACAATACCATTAGGTAATGTGAATTGATTTTCAAAGCTATCTCTCTGTCTTAAGCACATACATGGATACATGCACATGCACACACACAGATGTGTTAAAAGACTTCAGGCCTTGTGTAGACAAGTTTTACCAATTTTAAAGGATCAGTTAATTCTTATTTTAGCATAGGGAGGAAAATTATTTTTATGAAACTACTATAACTTTGGCACCAAAGTTGAGTAAGGACAGTGCAAGAAAAAAAAAAACATTTAGACCAATTCATCTAGAAAGACAGAGGAAAAAATTCTAAATAACCGTCAGTAGTATTTTAATATTCATCAGAGTAACATGGAATGTAAGAAAGATTCAACATTAGAAAAATCTAGCAATGTAATTTGCCATAGTAATAGATTAAAAAAGAAAAACCTAATAAACATCTCAACATAGGTCAAGTTGGAAAACAAAAAGTATAAAAATGATGGATACAATTCAGTGCTGAGGATGAGGGTGGAACAGAGTAGAAGAGAATTACCTGAACCTGATTATTGTTTTCAGAGCAAAAACTATTCTCAGTAGAGAAACTTCCAAAACCCTTCACTTCTGTGTCCTGGTGAAAACCAGGGACAGTTAAAGGATAATCACTGTTGCCACCACTACTGAACATTGGACTTGAAGCCCAGCACAGACAATAAGCCGAGGAATGGAAGGGAGAGAGGAAGAAGGACAGAGAGAGAAAGGAAATAGGGAGTACCAGTCAGGAATGTGTGTGACTGCAAATATCAGAAAATCACCAGTGCCTTCAGCAATGAGGAGTTGTCTCATACACAGGAAAAGGGAGTCTTGGATCAGTGGTGCCGATTAGCTGGGCTGTCATGGTTACCCTCTTCAGCTTGTTTGATTTTCTCCTCATGCTTGACCACAAGATAGCTGCTATGGATCTGGGCAGGAACAAGGAGGAAAGAGTTCTGTTGGTCTCTCCTCAGAAAGTGTACTTTCTCTTAAGTCTCACTGGTCACATGCCCACTGTTAGCCACGCGAAGACTAGGTGGTGAATGTCCAGGGATAGGGTTACATTTAGAATTAAGGACATAGTTATACTAAGTACTTAGTACGAGAAGTTATGTTCAGTCCAACCCATTCATGAAAATTCTGTTCTTGGTAGGATATTGAAATATATTTACTATTTGAGATATGCTAAAATCACTTGCTGTTCATCTGAAATTAAAATGTAATCATATGTCCTTTACTTTTTATTGAATCTGACAACCCTAGGAACTAGGCATACTGTCCAACCCTGAAAAAAAAATTAGGATTCTAAAATCAGCACAGAAGAAAGGTGGGTAGTTACTTGGCAGTCTGGGATTAGTAACTATCACAGAAGCATGCAAATTTATCAAGAAAGACAGGCTTTTTCTTCTGACGTTACACCTGGAAAATTTTATCATAAAACTTTGTCCAGAAGGGAAATTGAGTAGCAAAATAGGCAGTGCCTCAGGATACAGTTTTATTAAAGATGGAGACACATTTATAGGGTATATGCCCCATAAAATCCAAGGGTACATGAAGTTATGACTTAGTGACAGCATGTCTTCGGGTAACTACAAAAAATTCTCAGACACCAGTAACTATGGCTCGTCCATGTGAAATTACGTATCTTTGAGATCTGTGTCCTATCAAAGCCTGTTAAATCTTACTAGAATCCTCCAAGGTGAAAACTTGTCAGCTGTTACTGTTTCAACATAAGAATTTAGCCATAAATCTCACTTGTCTATAGGAACCTTCAAATTAAATGAAATGTGTACTGAGTCTGCAGACATTAGGAAAAACAGGTCTTACTGATGAATCTGTAGGCTGGAGTATGGACTAACCCGCAGAAGTGGGATATCATGTCCAAGTGGACAGCGGAGCAGGACAGTGCAAAATGCAGAATTCAAGCAAAACAAGTAGGCTTATCTTGGGTCTGTATCCCCCTAGGGCACACTAGCCAGAGGAGGGAGTTCAAGTCACAGGGAGGCTGGCTGGAAGCCAGGGAAACAAAAGAGGTGTAAGAGTGGGCCAGAAGCAACAAACAGTGCTATGAGTTCTTGCTACTTTTTAAAAGATGGCTGAAAATATTCCTTGCAGTCCTCTAGAAGCAACCTGACAGAACTGAGTCCTCAAGGTGAGAGTCTAAATTAAGTGTTGACATCCTTTCCTAGCATGCTGGTTTTGATCAATGTCTGTTAATTCCTTTGAAGATTGTTGTCATAGAACTGAGGCAGGGAGCAGGGTGGGGGGCGAGTTGAAGGAATTGAGATGAAAGAAGCCCCACGACTTTTATTCAATTAACCATTTAAATAAATTATTTTTTTCTCCTTCCTGGAAAGAGTAATGTAAGAATTTTTCTCCCTTGAGAAGGCCAGGCTTAGGCAGTCTGGAAAAGGGAGTGGAGTTGGTTGCCACACAGCAGGAGAGATGTAACCGTTATCTACCATGAAGGTCCACCCCCCTGTGGACTCAAAACATTCTCCAAAAGTTGTTGCTTACAGATTTAACTAATTTCAAAAATAATCTTTATGGTGCATCACTGCCCCAAGTCATTTACATTTTTTAGAGTCATCTTTACACAAGGATAGTCCATATCCTATGTAACTGTGTTAACTTTCTTGTCCCGGAAATGGGAATCTGGCTGTTTAAAGAAGTCTTTGAGTGAAACATTTTGTAGGATGACTTTCACTCTCTAATTTGCCTGCATTTTAAGTCTGCCTTTTCAACTAGGCAGTTTATGAAAGGGGGGTGACCTTCCATCTGATGGAACTGTGGCCCTTCCGTGCTCTCCGCTTTGCGTTTGAAGTCAGTGGTCACGATGTCTCACAGAATGGAGACAGGAAAGTTGACAGGGAGCAGAGTTCAACAGATCCCTTTGACTCTCAAGGTGCAACTCCACTAGCGCCCACCCACTGCCTCAGCCCTTCTTTCAGAAGAGGTAACATTGCCCCTCCATCCACAGCCCCCTTTGTTACACCTCAGAAACTGCCACCAGCAAATGTGAAGGTGCCTCCGAAGAAACAAAAGTCAAAGGTATTCATAGTTCTATTACAGGAAGAAAAATGTTTTGATTTGCAATATTGTCTGTGAGATTTTTTTGGTAATGTCTGCATATTACAGTGTGCCTCTCACACAGAAATAACTGCTATTTCAGCTGCTGCTGGGATTTGTGTCATGTCATGTTACATGTTTGCTGTTTTAGGGATCAACCTAGGGCTTCTTGTATGGTAGGAAAGCACTCTTACCACTCAGCTACATAGCAAGCCTCTGATTTTAAAAGGGGGATTATTCTGTAAGTCAGTTCCACCATGACACTTTCCATGGAGTCTAAAATACTGAGTCCTCCTTTGTGAGGTTCACAAAGTAGCTGACTCCGCCCATATTACTAGCTGGTCAGGGGTACAAGAGTCCAGGATACAAGTTATTGTTTTACATCCAAATTTGTGTTGTACAGGCTTGTCACTGTGCAGTAAACAAAGTCCTCCCGCCTTACACAGAAAGCCCTAGTGAGGAAAAGAAAGGGGTTCTGTAGTTCTTCAGCATTAGCACCTCACAGTACAATGAGACTCGTCCTTGTGACGATGGCCCCAGTTTAAAGGTGCTGGACTTTCTAGCTTGCTTTCTTATGCTTTTGGGTCACAGACGAATTTATGATCATTGAAACTTTTCACTACAGAAAGGAGACAGCTGGCAATGTCTTTTCTGGCTTAGCGTGTGCTGCTGCTCTCATGAGGAAAGAGAGAATTTGGAGACTGGCCCCAAAGAAATTAATCGTGCTCTGTCTCTACAGAAGACGGTGACCCATCCTTCCCAGCCTTCATCTTTTATGCCCACTTCTCCCTTGAGAGGTTCTCAGTGTTTCTTCAGTGCTGGTGGGCTGTTTCTCCTTAAGAGATTTCTAGACTATTTATGTGGTAGCGTGTCATGTGACGCCCCAGTTGCCATGGCAAATATTTATGTTTCATGAAAAATGTGAGTAAAAAAATCAATGTAAATGGCCAGATCCCAAGACAGACAGGCCTTCGGGCGAGTGCTTGGCTTGCTCCATTATTGTTTCAAATTCAGCTGTTTAACAGGCTGTGAGAAGGCCATAGGCTAATGTGCCCAACATGAACAGGCGGAGGCACCTGTTTTAATTCTCACCCTGCAAGCACTCAGGTCCCAAGTTTTATAGAGAACGGATCTACAGGTAATACAAATACTCTGACTAGCTTTTAGCCAGTATGCGGTTTACTTCAAACATTTTTTTTAGAAATGATGGCATATTTTCTGAACTCTAATTAGCCCTGGCTTTAATCCCCTATTACTACTAGCAGTAATGTTAAAAGACTGTAGTCCCAGATTGGTACAATATTTCTGAATTGAGTCTTCAGTGGTAACTGTAATTTTTCATATACTTTGTAGAAAGTATACCGTGCCTGGAGTTAAAGGGCTAAGAGAAAGATGCAACATGGCATGCTAGGGCCAGCTCAGACCATGGTCGGGCTCTGCCACCTGGCAGGGTGGTGCCACATGGGGAAGCCCTTTCTTGAAAAAGCTTCCCCATTGTTCCCTAGAAGTGGGAGCAGCATCTGACCATTGTTATTTTTGTAAATATTTACTTTGTCAAACTCTTTCCTCAAAGCAAACAGGGCTTGGCCAGCAGAGCTGGTGTGGGGGTGGAAAAGGTCTTTCAAGCATTAGCTCAAGCCTGCATGGAAAGAGGGGACAGGCTGGCCCAGCGGGAAGCAGGGAGGGGGATGGGCTCTGAGCCTTTATTTGTTTTGTTAAATTGCCCAGGAGAGTTATTTTGATTTAAACTGTGTCTCATTCTTCATTGTAGGGAGGAGACCAAAGGTCAACAGGCCATCAGAAGGTTTGTAATTTGTGTGACTAGTTGAAATTTGGGATCTGTCACCTGATGTCCCTTCCTTTTGCTTGAGGGCAAAAGTATGGGAGAGGCTGCCTGACAGCTGGGGACAACAGCAAAAGTTCTGTGGTGTTTCCTTTATAAAAGAAATAAGGTCATGTTTTCAGAAGAAAAAAACAACTGTGGTTCACTTAAAGTGAAAAACCTTTCTTTGCCCTGGGACTGGATCACTTCTCAGTCTTTAATCCAAACAAATGGTTTAGCATTCTCAAAATCTGGCTAAATCACATCAGCTTATAACCTCAATTAAAGATTTTCATCATTTAAAAGTACACTTCAAGAATAAGATGCTGAAAATAAATTCAGTTGTCTCCAGCATGTATTTACTTACACAAGTGCGTGCTTGCACATGTATGTGTGTGCTTACATATGCAAACATGTGCGCGCGCGCGCACACACACTGCATTCGTGATGTGGTAGCTGGGGATGTGGGATTTAAAGCTAAACTAACCACAAGTAATGTTAACAAAAAAAAAGTTTAAAAATTGAAATAGTTCCCACAATACAGCAAGTTCATGCCAGCAAGGACTTTTCCCCTGGCCCATGCACCACCACTACCACCCTGCGCTGGATTCTCCTCTGGGAGTAGAGAGGAACTGGCTTTGGCAACTCACTTAAACCTGGCTTTCCTGTCTGACAAGAGGGGATGTGCCTCCCTGTTGCAAGGACAGGTGAGTTCATGTGTGTGGAAGTGCTTTTTAAGAGTCTCTAGTCAGCCTTCCTTTCTCAGTGATTTTCTTATCAGTAAGAATCTCTCTCTGGGCTCACTTTTACTCCTGCAGAGCTGACTGCAGACAGTTCTGAACCTAGATACATTGCTCCTAGATAAACTGATTGGTGCAAGTGGCTCCTTCCTCTCGTTCCCCTGACTTATTGTGAGGAAACTGCGGGTGGATTTACAATGGCTAATATGCACTGAGCATATCCTGTGCATGTGGCACTAAGTGACTGAGTGCCTTCTGTACCCACTGAGCCTTCATGACAACCACAGAACCATTGCTGCCATGGTAAAGGGCTGACACAGTGAGGCTTGCCACATACCAGGCTAGGTAACCTTTTCCCTGTGGGCTGGTTCTCCAAATATTACTGCTACTATTTCTGTACAAGCAGCTAGCGTACTAAGCATTTACTCTGTGCCAGGCTTTGTACCTAACATCTCACTTCGTTATTCTAACCTCCATTCCTGTGGAGGAACTGCAGAGAGATGACGTCATCCAACTGCTTAAATGACAGACCTAGTATACAAAACTGGACTGTGTAACTCCTAGAGCTCCCATTAGAAAGCTTTACAAATCTCAATCATTGTTGATGAAATCTTTCTAAAATATATTACGTCCCTGCCCTTCCAATATGATTCAGCATTTTCCCTCTCCCATGTCATGTGTGCAGATGATCCGGTCTGTGTCTTTGTTTCCTTCCATATCTGACAGCAGCTGTTACCTCTGCTGTCATATCTGCTCTATCAGTTCTGACTTTCACAGCCTTTTCCAGAAGTTAACCAAGTAGCCAAAACTCAAGAGGACAAATAACTGAAATTGTCAGGCTGTCTTAAGAATCCAGAGAATAAGCGGTAGTAGAGTTCGTAACACTAGTGATTTCAAGAAAGTTGAAGAATCTTTATTCTAAATCTGTTTGTTCTGCAAATAAATCTTTTGTTATCTTAAGGCAGACATATTGATAGCTCTGTTAAGATCTGCTTCATATTTTGATCATTAACTTCATGGGTACAGCAAACATTTATATCTATTGAACTATAGGAGTATGAACTAAATTTGTATGTATATTTATTTTTGGGAAGAGGGGAGATGAATAGGACTAAAAAGAAATACAGAGGAGACTTGAATTATAGATAGATAGGTAGACATACACATGTATTTATATAAAGCAGAGAAGACAAAAAATTAAAATGTGTCTATGGTAGTTTTACAGTGCTAGGATTTGAACTCGGCCTCATACTTGCTAGGCAGGTGCTCTAACACTTGAGCCACTCTGCCAACCCTGTTGTGTGTTGGGTTTTTTTGTTTTTTTGAGATAGGCTCTCTCGAACAATTTGCCAGGCCTGGCTTCAATCTGCAATCCTCCTGATATCTAGGATTGTAGCATGAGCCACCCATGCCTGGCAGATTTTATATTATCCTCTGAATGTTCAAAACTTTTCTAAATTAAAATCCAGCATTAAGATTTCTTTTACTACAGAAAGAATAGGTTTGGGGATCTCATTAACTTTTTGCCTGGGCTGGCCTTGAACTATGATCCTCCCGATCTCTACCTCCCAGGTAGCTGGGATTACCCAAGTAAGCCACTGCACCCGGCCTCTGTTTTCCCTCTTTACCTTCAAATTATATTATGTTTGAAGAAAGCATTTCAGGCTTTATAATAAATACTTTGAGAGTCACTAGATGCCATCTAGCAGCACTTTTGGCTGTAAGTTGTTCTATCTGGCAGGGGAATAGTCTACTTCTTAGAGTGCAGGGTGCTCCCTGGTTGACTTTGCTAGGAAGGCACTCTTACCTCTTGAATCACTCCGGCAGCCTCCCCACCCCCCAGTTGGCTTTATATTCCAACACAATCTAGTAGCCTTTTTTGTCTTGCTTGAAAGGTTAGAGAGAGGTCAGGTTTTACTTTGACAAGAATTAGAGCTCTGCAACCTGGAGATTCAAAATGAAGTCCAAAGCCAGGTAGTGCAGTGCGTGCATGAAATCCCAGCTACTCTGGAGGTGGAGGGAGAAGGATCAAGAGTTGGAGGCCAGCCCAGGCAAAGACCCTATCTTAAAACAAAACAACAAGGGCTGACAGAGTGGCTCAAGAGGTAGAGTGCCTGCCTAGCAAGTGTGAGGCCCTGAGTTCAAACCCCAGTACTGCCAAAATTTAAAAAATAATAAAAGAAGATCCAAACAACAATAACAAAAGAGCTGGCAGCATACCTCAAGAGGAGAGTGTTTACCAAGCATGCCTGAGGTCCTGAGTTCAATTCCCAGTACCAAAAAACAAAAAGTATAGTTATTTTTTCCTCTTTTAGACTCATTTTCTCTTGTGAAACCTCATTTAAGGAAGAAGAGAAAAAACTTTTGAAACCATTTTCCCCACTTCATTAGACATTGCTACCTTCACCTGTGTGTTTTTG